AGGCATGCTGTGATGGAGGGAGAGGAAACATCCAGCTCCTCTCAGACATCTCACATACATTTACGGGGATCCCTGGGTCAGCAGAGCAGCTCGGTGCTTCTGCTAGCATCACAGAAGCAATAGATGGAAGAGAAGAGCAATGAATTTTGTGCGTCTGAAAAACAAAGAGCTTGAGACCAATTTTAACTGCTGCTCTATGGGGCGAGTCCATGCTCAATTTCCTGAATTCTTCACTGAAGACCACTTGTCGTTTGAGGGCAAAGCCAACCATTCCAAGTATCATCTGGGAGCTAAGGTAAATCTGTACCTTCTTTCAGGTTTCCAGGTGCAGTGTAATTAAAAATAAGAAGGGCTGGTTGAACCCAGGTGACCCTAATTATCTTTATTAAAAGCACAGATGGGGATGTGATAGAAGCTAGTGCACAAGAAAAGCCTGTTCCTAGAGCAGAACTGTATTTTTCAAAAACTAAGAGCTCAGAAAATTCCATTATTGGTATATTCCCCTGCCTGTAATTCTCTCACAAATTGAGTATCTCAGATCCCTCCTGCCTTAGTCCAGAGATTATTATGGTGTAGTAGTTGAGGCTCTAGGGCCAGCTGGCCAAGTTTATGTTCCATGTCCTTCACTTACCAGATACGAAATAGTGGGGAAGTTATTTAAACTTTCTAAACTTCAATCTCTTCGCCTATAACATGGGAATAACAAAAATTACCAGTGAGATTTAAATAAATCAATGCGTCTAAAGTGCTTAGTTCAGAGCTTGGCAAACAGTAATAGTATTAATGAATACTACCTATTGTTGCTATTATTTAATTTGGGTGGTGGTTGTTGCCTTAAGGTGAACTTGTTCACCTTCAGCGTCTCTGAGCTCCCATCTCTCCTTTTCACAGTCATAGCTGTAGTGACATTGAGAAACCTTGACACTTTGTGTCGTGTTGTTCATCCAAGCCATTCCCGTATCCCCTAAGAAAGGATGTACCCACACAATTCCCATGGCATACTGATTCAAGCAAAAAAATGTCTAAGCAGAGACACTTAAGAATTTTCTTCCCAGAGTCAGATTCCCTCCCAAAGATGCCTTTTTATCTCAGTCAAAAATCACTGGCTGGGATTTTATTAGACACATGTGGGGGGGTTGCCTTTTTCTTCCTTTTTTTATGAATATAAAATGGCCTCTCACTTCCTGTTTAGTTGATGTTGCAACAACAATGACTATTGTGTATTTCCTTCATAAGTTGAGGAGCTTACCACAACAAAGATCAGTTCACTATAGTGTTTCAAGAACAAAAGACTACAATGTACTCAAATTTCACATACTCAGGGGTACTATTTAGTAATTTCATAGGTAACAAGGTACCCACAAATTGATGAGTACTTGAATAGAAGGTTGACCTTGCCCAAGCTGTATACTTGAATGGAATGCTAAATTTTCTTTTAAAAACAATATTTTGGGAATCTTAAGTCTTATCCCAAATATCTAGCTTCTTGTTTTCCATCTTGTTAAAAGGAAGCAATGTTGCCCAATGTTACTTCGTTTAGGACAATTTTATTCGTACTACATTAATTTGTTTTAGGTTTATTTCTTTCAAGAGATGGAGTGGAAAGAGTTAGAGAGAGAGAGAGAGAGAAATGCCCTGTACAGATCACCACACCACAATCCCCTCCGTGTGTGCCCCTACTCCCCGGCCTTCTCATTAAGACTGGACCGTGGACTCGCTAGTCCACGCAGTACAGGTTGAGCAGAACCATATGGACCCAACATCATTTGAACAGTGTATCACCACTGTGCCTCGGAGCCAGCCCTATGTTGACACATTCTATTCGGGTTACACGTTTGAATTTTTGGGGGCCACTATATAAGCTGAACATCTGACAAGTGCCCAGGGCACATATGCATAAATAAAGGTCATCTCAAGCAGTGCCTTAATCTTGGTCCGTTTGACTAAGGCGGTCTTGGTGGTTCTCCCTGAATGGCAGTGCTTCCGTGCGAGATGTAACAACCTGGAGAGTCACTCAGGTTTATTGTGAAATCGACAACTGACATTCTCTGATCTTAGAAGGGGGGGTATTAAAGTAAAACACAGTGTGCCCCACATTGTTGGAAATATTTTTCAAACGCCATCTCATAGCAAACAAGGCACTTCACTTGTGTAAGAACCCTATTGAAGAAATTCTGTAATGGACTCGTACTCGCCTCCCAGCATCCTTTGTGTGGGGCATCCATACAGCATATGTGCCACAGCCCTGGACAGCACTCAAGGACCAGCCTCAATCCTTGACCACAGAGGTGGGAATTTGATCCAGGCTGGACTAAGCAGATGTCATCTGTTAGTGATATCTGCAAGGAAAGGTAGGCTTGCTTTCTTCTGACCGGCTAAATGAAAAACATGCCATTTCTCCTGCTACTTGCTGATGGCCAGCTTCGGGATGAAGTAACAGACAGAGAAATGCAGACCTATGAGATGACAAAAATGCCAAAGTACCAGAGTGTGAACTCCTGGATCTACACTTGCCTGAAACTGGGCAGGATTACCATGGACTCCCCACTTTGGGGCTGTTGTTTAAGCCCATCTGAATTGAGTTTATGTCACTGGCAAATCAGAGTCCTAGATAAAAAGAAAAACTGTTACATTTATTTCATAAGTCAGCAAACCCAGGCTCAGAGAAGAAAAGTATCTTGCTCTGAAAGTAGCAGGACCAGGATTTAAATCCAGATTGTTTTGTCTCCCAAGTTTCTGCTCTTCCTACTCGCCTGCCTCCTCATAAGGTCAAGAGAAACTGCGGCGCTCTCTTCAGACGTCTTAATTCTTCAAGAGTTGTAATACGATTGTGAGAGAGAAAAGGGATTGCTGTGGGTTTCACAACTGACTTGAACCAATACAAGCCTGCGCAGAAGCGCTTACTCACTGAAGGCTCTGGAAAGGGCTGGCTTGTGTGCACAGAGTGACCCTGATTGTCTCCTGGGCAGCTTGGACAAACAGGGAGGACAGGGACCGACAGAACAGTTAAGTCCCAGCTGAAGTGCAAGTGGATACAGCTCCTTTTTGAAGAAGATGGACAAAATACAGGAAGGACACGTCCAAGAACAACTTTGCATGAGAAGAAATAGCTCAGACCAGCCTGGGATGAAGACTCTGGATGTTCAGAGGTGTGGAGAATGAACTTCAGAGGAATGTTGGGTGTCTATACATTCCAAATTACAGGGGATATGATGGGGTTGTTGGTGGGGAAAGAGATGCTGGGAAACAGTGGGTGCAACCATGGGCAGCCCTGGACACTTTTGTGGCTATGCTGGTCATTTCCATCAGTCATTCATTCACCGGTTCATTCACGATCTCTGTGAGCATTTTCTAAGCAGCGCTTATGCGTCGGGCTCTGCTGAAGACTGAGGATTCAGTGATTAAGATGGGCTTCCTGGGTTTGTAGTTTTACAGTCATAGGCCACGTATGGCAGTCATTGACTCTGTGTGTGTGTGTGTGTGTGTGTGTGCACGTGAGAGAGAGAGATCAGAGTGTTGATACTGAGGATTTCAGATCCACCATTTATACCAGTAGCTAATTTTCTTTGTCATGTAAAGAACCATCTACAGGACAAATACTCCTAGAAATAAAGCCCTATCACCTGAGTGAGGAGAAATTCTTTTTTAAAATTTTTTTTAGAGTTTTTTTTTTTTTTCTATCGGGCGCGTGTACTCGCCAGAAAGACAGAAAGAGACTGAGAGACAGAA